ATCCAGCTCCTTAGTTCCTGATCTGTTCCACAGGCCGTCCATCCATCTCCTTAGTTCCTGATCTGTTCCACAGGCCGTCCATCCAGCTCCTTAGTTCCTGATCTGTTCCACAGGCCGTCCATCCAGCTCCTTAGTTCCTGATCTGTTCCACAGGCCGTCCATCCATCTCCTTAGTTCCTGATCTGTTCCACAGGCCGTCCATCCATCTCCTTAGTTCCTGATCTGTTCCACAGGCCGTCCATCCATCTCCTTAGTTCCTGATCTGTTCCACAGGCCGTGCATCCAGCTCCTTAGTTCCTGATCTGTTCCACAGGCCGTGCATCCAGCTCCTTAGTTCCTGATCTGTTCCACAGGCCGTCCATCCATCTCCTTAGTTCCTGATCTGTTCTGAAGGCTCCTCTTATCTCTTCCACTTAATCTGATGTTTAATCAGTGCTGGGGAGTATTCAGTGGGGCGCACAACGGAAAACGTTTTAAAACAGTCTGCAACAGAAAACGAAAATGAGCGTTTCTTAGTCCAGGTAGTCGTCCCTCTCTGTTTCAGTCCGCTTTCTTCAGTTTGGTGCCTAATGAATGTGGCCCTGCGGCTGTCTCCTAGGGTCTGGCTGGAACTTGAAGGCTGTGTGTTGGTGTGGAAAGTGTCTCTGACGGTTTTGCTTTACACTCCCTCCACTCTGCTCAGCTCGTCTATTGGAACCACATGTTGGCTTGCACAAAACACGACACAGATCAGGGGAGGCCGGGAGGGGACTGGCTAGCAGCAAATCTGTTCCAGGATTGCTGTCATAACACTGAAGTTACTAGAGGAAAGGGAGGATTGGAGGTAGAGAGTGAGCACCAAATATTTGCCCATAGCGATCTAACCATTTGGGGAATCAAAGTAGCTTTGAAGGATCTGTCTTTCACTGTAAATCATTTTTATTTTTTAACCCAGAGAAGATGCATTAACAAAACTTACCCAGATTGTTTTGTGAGGCTAGCTGACACGGAGTGGGCATCTTGTCATGTTTACCAGATGGGGTGGTGCCACGCATCTCTAAACACATCCTCAAATCAATAGTAGCCAGCAGCCACACCATCCTGCTGCATCCCACTGCTGGCTTTATTGCCTCTTAAGTTAAGCTGCCCTGCAGAGGTGGGCATGGTTGATCCTTGGATGGGAGACCAAATGCTGCTGGACGTGTTGTCGGAGGGTCAGTAGGGAGCACTCTTCCCATTGATCTAAGGAGACCCAATATCGGAGGTGCATAAAAATGGCGGCACCATGCATTTACCACAAATGCCTCGTTGTACATTGTTCTCCGTTACTCTTTTCTGTGTGGTCATTAGCACAGTGTACATGATCCCAATTTCTAGCTCAAAGACGGCGCCAATTAAAACAAAAACAACAAAAAAATGGATTGTGCTGATTTGTTGGTGCATTGAATCATGTCGCACGCCGTAGTTTAGAAACTCTGTGGATAGTGCTAAAACAATGACGTCACATCTATATGCACGTTCGCCATTGTCCCCAGGAGTTACAGTAACTCATGAAGGCTATCCCAGGGTCATTGAAACCCATTTTGTAATGTGGGAAATCATGCCACACCACCACTGTGTCTAGGCAACGGCCTATCAGTAAAGAAGAATTAATCACGTCTCCATAAAATACTCCTTGTGAGAAAGAATGAAGAAAGGACCGGGGCATTAGAACCCCAATTTATACAAATAGAACCCCAATTTAAACAAATAGAACCCCAATTTAAACAAATAGAACCCCAATTTAAACTAATAGAACCCCAATTTAAACAAATAGAACCCAAATTTAAACAAATAGAACCCCAATTTAAACTAATAGAACCCCAATTTATTCAGTGAGACTTACAGTGCCTTCAGAAAGTATTCATACCCCTTTACTTATTTCACATTTTGTTGTGTTCAAAATTTATTAAATCGTGTTTTTTTCTCACCGATCTGCACACAATTCCCAATAATGACAAAGTGAAAACATGTTTTAAGAAATGTTAGCACATTTATTGAAAATGAATACAAAACTATCTCATACATCAGTATTCACACCCCTGAGTCATTACTTTATAGAAGCACCTTTGGCAGCGATTATGGCTGAGAGTGTATTGGGCAACATTCTTCAAGCTCTGTCAAATTGGTTGTTGATCATTGCTAGACAGCCATTTTCAAGTCTTGCCATGGATTTTCAAGTATATTTAAGTCAAAACTGTATCTCGGTCACTCAGGAACATTCACTGTCTTCTTGGTAAGCAACTCCAGTGTGGATTTGGCCTTGTGTTTTAGGTTATTGCCCCAAACACAACGCTTAATGTCAACAAGGGAAAGCATTGTATTCAGGACAAAAAAAAACGACTTGCTTTCCCTTGTTGCAAACAAGATGCATGTTTTGGAATATTTGTATTCTCTACAGGCTTCCTTCTTTTCAATCTGTCAATTAGCTTAGTATTGTGGGGTAACTACAATATTGCTGATCCATCCTTAGTTTTCTCCTATCACAGCTCTGTAACTGTTTTGAAGTCACCAGTGGCCTCATAGTGAAATCCCTGAGCGGTTTCCTTCCTCTCTGGCAACAGAGTTTGGAAGGACGCCTGTATCTTTGTAGTGACTGGGTGTATTGATACATCATCCAAAGTGTAAATAATAACTTCATCATGCTCAAAGAGAGATTCAATGTCTGCTTTTTTTTTTACCCATCTTTGCATTGGAAAACCTGCCTGGTCTTTTTTGGTTGAATCTGTATTCTGTATTCGACTGTATCTGTATTCGACTGAGGGACCTTAGAGATAATTGTATGTGTGGGTCATTCAAAAATCATGTTAAACATTATTATTGCACACAGAGTCCATGCAACTTATTACTGTATGTGACTTGTAAAGCACATTTTTACTCCTGAACTTATTCAGGCTTGCCATAAAAAAAGAGGTTGAATACTTATTGACTCAAGACATATCAGCTTTTCATTTGTTATTAATTTGTTTTAAAAAATCGAAAAACATAATTCCTCTTTGACATTATGGGGTATTGTGTGTAGGCCAGTGACAAAAAAATATAAATGCAATCAATTTTAAATTCAGGCTGTAACCCAACAAAATGTGGAAAAAGTCAAGGGGTGTGAATACTTTCTCAAGGCGCTGTTTAACTCATCGCTCATTTGAGTTTTGGGTTTAGCTCCTCTGCTGCCAGATGTGAAATGTTGGATCTTTAATTTGATTACCCTGTTGCAGGATAACTTTTCTGCAATGCAGGAAATGTAAAACTTGTAGTGTATTTGAGGTTTAAAAAATGCTTCTGAAGTAATTTTGACCTGAACATTTCAGACTTGGTTTTCTTTCACGAAAAAAATACTATTTATCAACCCCTACAAAAATGTCCATTAATTATAATCCGCATAATAATTCTAATTTCCTGTCGCTGCAGGATTATTTTCCTGCCGTAGCAAAACCTTGCCTTCTGGATGCAGAGACTTGGGAGGGAGGCCCTGTAGCCGCGCTCTACACTTCATCATCAGTGGCGTAGTGCGGTCGCTCAGTTAGTTTTTCATTAATAGACCTGCCACTTTAAACTGATGCATGGGGTGCCAGCCGAAGGCCTCTTGAAGTGAGGCAAGCTATACTGCTTTACACACACATGCACACACAAACGCACGCACACGCACACGCACGCACACGCATGCACACACACACACACACACACACACACACACACACACACACACACACAAAGCCTCTCCCACAGCACACCTCAACAGACTGACAGCTCTTATATAGTCCTGGCAGTCTGATCACACCACAGTCAGTAAACACACCACAGTCAGTAAACACACCACAGTCAGTAAACACACCACAGTCAGTAAACACACCACAGTCAGTAAACACACCACAGTCAGTAAACACACCACAGTCAGTAAACACACCACAGTCAGTAAACACACCACAGTCAGTAAACACACCACAGTCAGTAAACACACCACAGTCAGTAAAGGTCAAATTTCAAATCTACCCAAACCCATGACCTACATTAGCAGAAACATTTTCCCTCTGACGATTGGAGGCAGTAAACAGATGAAACCTTTTATTGTTGATCAATAAAGTACAACATACATCCCATACATGATTAACATCTACATCTTACATATTTAAATAATATTGTTTGTATATTCTTTGGTCTCAGCATGTTTGTGGTAATGCTCAAATCTGGATTCAATAAAATGTCTGTAAAATGGCAGGTTTTTGTGCCTAACAAACTCAAACTCGGTAATGTCATGGTCTGAAGTCTGTGGGTTTACGGCAATGTTACATTATTGGGAGGAAAGTAGCGGAGGTGTATGTTGAAAGAGTGTGTGTGTGTGTGTGTGTGTGTGTGTGTGTGTGTGTGTGTGTGTGTGTGTGTGTGTGTGTGTGTGTGTGTGTGTGTGTGTGTGTGGACGTGTTTAACCAGAAGTCCCCACAACAATATTGTAAACGAATAAAATTTGAACAACTGGGGACATTTTTTTAGTCACCACACGGTCAAATGCTATTTCTAGGGGGTTTAGGGTTAAGGTTAGAATACGTTTTAGGGTTAGAATTAGGTTTAGGGTTAGGGGCCAGGGATAGTTTTAGGGTTAGGAGCTAGGGTTAGTTTAGGGTTACGGTTAGGTTTGGGGGTTAAGGTTAGGGTAAGGGTTGGAGTTAGGGCTAGGTTTAGGGGTTAGGGAAAATAGGATTTTGAATGGGACTGAATTGTGTGTCCCCACAAGGTTAATTATACAAGACTGTGTGTGTGTGTGTGTGTGTGTGTGTGTGTGTGTGTGTGTGTGTGTGTGTACATATTGTAGTGAACCACTGGAGATAGTTTTGACTTCTGCTGTTATGTCAACATGCAGGAACACAAACACATTTGGCCATAAATATCCATGGGGTCACTAGTATACAAGACTGAGTTTGAATGTGTGTGTGAATGCATTGGTTCAGTCAGTACATAGTAGGGATCTGACCCTGACACTCTGGTGGTCATGTAGGCCAGGACAGAAGACTCCCAGGGTCCTTAGCCTTCATCCGCAGGGCCACCAGGCTGGATGGCTTATACTCGGTCTCGGGCCCCGGCTCAAAGGAGTGGCCCCCGAGGGCCCCAGGGAAGCTGTGGAGGGAGTAGAGGCCGTTGATGCCAGGGTGGTGTGGGGGGTGATGGTGAGGGTGGTGAGGGTGGCTGGAGGACGGGGGCATGCCCATGAAGCCCACAGAGGAGAGGTTGCTGTGGGGGTGGGGGTAGGGGGTCATACAGGAGGAAGACATGGTGTCAGGGCCCAGGACACAGCCCCCACCGGACCCCCCGCCCCCTCCTGCACCTGGCCACAGGTTGCTCTGCATCTACAGGGGAAGAGAGTAGTCAGATCAGAGACCAATGACGAAGCGCCACTGATAGGCTACATAAAGATAATTCCCATCATGCTATTTGAAATGTAAATGCCAATGCTTGGTAATTCAATGTTGGGGGGTCTATCAAGGGTTTTGGTCTTGAATCATTATTAATGTATTTATTTATTAATTTATTGATTGCTTGCTTGCTTGATTGATTGATTGGTTGATTGGTTGATTGGTTGATTGGTTGATTGGTTGATTGGTTTAAAGGATTCCAATTAGTCTGTGATTGATAAAGATAGAAGGGTTATAGCTAGTGATCTATGTGTCAGTGTGTATCTATCTAGTACCTATTGGAGGGAGATATCGTACATAGTAACCAAATATCTATGTGTCAGGGTGTACCTGGTACGTAGAGATATCATACGTAGCAGCAAAGTGGTTTCGCACCTCCTGGATCTTCCCGTAGCGTTCCCTCTTCCTCCACTTGGCCCGGCGGTTCTGGAACCATACCTGACGAATGAAGAGAGAGAGATATTAGAGAGATTATTTCCTCTACCAATATATATAGGGCCCCTGCCTTGCCATGTTCCTACCTGCCTGAAAGATGTTTGGCTTCAATTGGTTTCAATAGAACATTTAAATAGGCCCTGGGATGTCGATTCATCTGAGGGGGACAAATATCCCTCTGCAAACTGTTAAAGAGTTGCCACCTCCGTTAGCTACTGTAGCAGCAGGGTAGGAGGCGTTTGTATTTTCTGTGTAGCGTGGCGTTGCTGTACCTGTACACGGGCCTCTGTGAGTTCGGTCCTGAGGGCCAGCTGTTCCCGGGCGTAAACGTCAGGGTAGTGAGTCTTCTGAAACACCTTCTCCAGCTCCTCCAACTGGAAGGTGCTGAAGGTGGTGCGGTTACGCCGCTTCTTGTTCTTGCCCGACAGGTCGATGGAGTCTGCTATGGAGTCCCCCGGTTGGAGACCGTTGGTTGGCTCCTTCAGCTTGATGCAGCAGTCCGAGCCAATCACAGGGTAGCCCATGGGCTTGGGACCCGCCTTCTCTCTGGCTGAGGGGAGGGAAGAGAGAAAGGTGGTTAGTTGTAGAAACAAACTGTGTGTGTGTGTGTGTGTGTGTGTGTGTGTGTGTGTGTGTGTGTGTGTGTGTGTGTGTGTGTGTGTGTGTGTGTGTGTGTGTGTGTGTGCGCGTGCATGTGTGTGCATGCGTGTGTATGTGTGAAAAAAGTAAATTGAGGAAGCAATGTAATATTCTCCACAATAATAAACTGGATTCATTAACGTCCACTGTTAGAGGCAGCAATGTAATATTCTCCACAATAATAAACAGGATGAAGCCACACGCAGGCTTGTCTTTTCTCAGGAGATATGACTAAGATCTGGAGGAGGAGGAAGTTGGGTTAGAAAGGAGTGAACATTCCCATGTTGTCTCAGGGGTCCCCCAGCTCATCCCCCAATACGAGGTGAGAAGAACTGGTCTGATGAGAAACGACGGCATGAGAGCCAACCATAGCTGCTTGTGGTATCGTTTTACTACATGAACAAATCTGTATGAGATAGTGTTGGAAATAAACAATAAACGTGTGGTTTAGTCACATCTGACCAGACACAACATTCCAGCCCACTGCAACACGGTTTGTTTTGATCGCTGCGCCACCTTGAATTAAGGTAATGAATCACTGAGCAGAAAACAAACTCTGATGTGTTTTGGCTTTTGCGGGGTTCACATAGACGTGGTGTTTGAGGTAATTTTACGGACAGAAGATATTACAGATTTTTCCAAGTAATTTAACTTTATGTTAAATTTCTTTATGAAGACTGAAAATGTCATTATGTGACTGCTTCTCTTATTCTAAGTACACATTTGTGACATTGTGAGTCCCAAATAATTTCAGTTATTAGTCAATTTAGAAAGTTAGAAATTCGACCCCATTTCTCCCATATTTGATGCAAAGTGTGATTGTGTGTATGAAATAACAAACCAATGACATCGCAATCTACACAGAGTGGACAAAACATTAAGAACACCTGCTCTTTCCATGACATAGACTGACCAGGTACAGCGTACAGTATTATATAGAGCCATTATTGATATGGAACTGCGTTCCATCTCATATTGCTCAAATAAACAGCAAACCTGGTTTAAGAAAGCAGATAAAGCAACACCTGACGGCACAAGGCCTCTCCTCTATCTGACCTAGATAGTTTGTGTGTATGTATTGATATGTTGGCCACGTCTACCTTTTTAGTTATGTCCTTGAGCTGTTCTTGTCTGTTAATGTTCTGTATTATGTCATGTTTCATGTTTTGTGTGGACCCAGGAAGAGTAGCTGCTGCTTTTGCAACAGCTAATGGGGATCCTAATAAAATACCAAATACCAAATACCAAATACCAGGTGGATCCAGGTGAAAGCTATAATCCCTTATTGATGTCACTTGTTAAATCCACTTCAATCAGTGTAGATGAAGGGGAGGAGACAGGTTAAAGAAGGATTTTTAAGCCATGAGACAATTGAGACATGGATTGTGTATGTGTGCCATTCAGATGGTGAATGGGCAAGACAAAACATTTAAGTGTCTTTGAACTGGGTATGGTAGTAGGCTAGGCGCACTAGTTTGTTGTCAAGAACTGCAACGCTGCTGGGCACTTGCACATGTTGGACACTGAGCACTCGGGAGTCATGAGGAAGGACAGCTTAAGAGGTTTTAAGCCGACGAATTGAGCTGGTTTGTAGGGCCATTCATAGTGAAGGGCAAGAATTTGTGCCTTTGAACAGGTATATGTATAGTACCATAGTTTTTACACTCTGGTTTTTACACTCAACAGTTCGTGTTTAGATGCACACCAGGAACAGACTCATAACTGTGACTTGGAGTCAACATGGGCCAGAATCCCTGTGGAACGCTTTCGACACCTTGTAGAGTCCACTCCCCCGACGAATTGAGGCTGTTCTGAGGGCAAATATTAGGAAGGTGTTCTTAATGTTTTGTGCACTCAGTGTATATGCATCCATTCATGTATGCGATACAAGCTCCTTCCTTATAGTACCATAGTGTTTTACTCTGGGTGTGTTTAGATGACTGGACTGTACCATAATGTTTTACTCTGGGTGTGTTTAGATGACTGGACTGTACCATAATGTTTTACTCTGGGTGTGTTTAGATGACTGGACTGTACCATAATAGATGTTTGGATGATGTTGTTCATGTTAATTGTCCCCCACAATGAAATCAGGGAGGGGACTGTGGATCTGTCTCCGTCCGTTAGTACCTTGGTACATTATAGTAACAGTAATTAACTGAAATATGTTAGTCACACGCGATATCTCAGTTGGCCCAAGGTGGGGACGCTGCATCGTTTGTGGGGACGACATGTTTACTGTTACCTTGTTACAGTATGTCTAACTCTGTGGTCCCAGAAGAGAACCGCTCTCCCTCAAGTATCTGCACTCTCCCTCTGTCCTAATGTCATATCCAAGTCCACAGCCTTACGCAGGGACCATTGAGAGCAGTCATTTAACATCAACCTAATTCAATTTCTGTCCCAGACAGAGAGCTTTTCATTCACCACAACACAACATTCCTGTCCTGCATCAAACATTGAAACCCTACACCCTATTTAGTGCATTACCTTTGACCGGGACCCTTAGGACTCTGGTCAAAAAGTAGTGCACTATATAGGGGAAAGGATGGCATTTGGGACGCACCCATGCTGTCCATTTAGAGCCAACCTCACACCATAGTTCATCGTGCCAAGAGATTGGAAAGAGGTTATTAAGATTTTTACAGTCTAAGAATAGGTACTGAGAAACACGCCTGATATGCTGTAGTGTAGCTTTTACCAAGAGCCCACATCCTGTCTCCCTACGGTCCAGCGTAATTGGGAGATGTACAGTATGTGAAATGCATTACAATACTGTACAGTCGAGATAAAGTCAAAATGGACCAATGTGAGTATACTGACATCATGGGGAAATTTCAGCTGTTCCCTCCCTGGCCTCTTGTTCTGTACATGAAATACTGCATGATCAGATGTCAGACATACAGTATCTTTGGTAAAATTTTAAATTTCGGGAGCTTTGGATTGGGTTTAACAGTATCTTATAATTCACTTCTTATGCAGATTAGATAATGAGATTGAAGTCTTGAAGCATTAGTAACAAGTTTTGATAAAATAGCATTTTTTTATAATTTAACTTTCCAAATATAAAATGTCAAGAAAATGTCAACACGCATGAGATCTCAGTTTAGGAATACCTGGTAAATTCAACACCCCCCCCCCCCCCCCCCCCCGCTCTACCATCCCTAAACCCTAACCATCCCCCTTCCAAGGACTGATAGACAAAACAGAAAGACTAGTCTGCCTTTGAAGGTGTGTGAGTCTGACTGTGGCCCCAGAATGTTGGAGAGCAATGAAGTGTCCTGTGGACCACATCTCCACTCAAATCTGACCCAGAAACCAACACTCTGGTTAAACGGCTTTAGAGTTCACAGACTGACAACAAATGGATTCTCTTGTCCAAAAAAAAGTATTCTAATCATACCAATATTTGGGGCTCTCGGTATCGTAGTATTATATGGTCAACAACCCCTATTTAGAAAAGTTTAATGAAAACTCTTTCATTAAGTGTTTTAATAAAAAAAACTTTGTGTGTGTGTGCATGCGTGTGTATGCATGCCTGCGTATGTGTCAAGTGTGTGTGTGTGTGTGTGTGTGTGTGTGTGTGTGTGTGTGTGTGTGTGTGTGTGTGTGTGTGTGTGTGTGTGTGTGTGTGTGTGTGCATGTGTGAGAGAGTGTGAGTGTGTGTGTGTGAGAGTGTGAGTGTGTGTGTGTGTGTGTGTTAAGTGTTTGCTAATATCTGAAGAATCTAAGAAAATACATCTTAATTCAAGACCACAGGCAAAGCCTATGAAACTAGAATATTATCAAATCCATTTCAAATCAGACCACGCTGTTATCTAGATTGCAGATTAACTGTCAAGATGGAGGCTCTCTGCTCCATCATACGGCTGTCTTTGGCAACGACATGAATCAGACTAATGTATGTTATTCTGAACACATACATCACTAAGCCCTTATCAGAACTCACATGCCTTCATTGGCAACTTTAGAGGATGGATTACAAACGTTAATAAATAATACTGAAGAACCATTTCATTTCCTAAGACTTAAGTTCATGGGATATTATACAAGTTTAATAAAGTGTTTCACATTAATTAATCTCATCATTACATTAACCGAGTTGAACATTATCCACAAATTTGCATTGCATTTTCAGTTTTTATATCTTTAAGTTAATCTAGTTCTTTAAGTTTTAATTCAATGGTATTAATTCATTGAATATATTTTATAATTATTTAGATTAATATAATAAAATGCCATTTAGCAGACGCTTTTATCCAAAGCGACTTACAGTCATGTGTGCATACAATTTTACGTATGAGTGGTCCCGGGGATCGAACCCACTACCCTGGCGTTACAAGCGCCATGCTCTACCAATTGAACTACAGAGGACCATATAATAATTTAGATAATGTTCTAAATGTGTTTAAATGTGATAATATTGCAAAAAAATAAAAAATAAAAGTTTGGTGTAAACAACAAAAGGACAGTGTCAACATTTGAATAAAGCACATCTTGAGAATCTAATTTGGATATGTGTAACTATTTTAGCTATTCAGAAACAAAAACAGAACTTTTGGATAAGAAACATGATCGATTTAAAATAAACTCTAACTGTATTTTTTAGTTTGTTTCGTTTATGAATGTATTTTGTGAAGGCTGCACGGGATTGGTGTGATAATACGATGTGTATGGCACGGGTGGAAGCTTCCTGCACCGACGCCGTAATCACGCACCTAGACGGCTCAGTCACTTTCTGACCTTTGGCCCGCGCGCACTTCACATCAAAACTAATTGTGACTACCAGTGTCAAGAGCAGATAAAACCTGATGACATATTTATCACCAGTGAGGTGCGTCCACTTTTACCAAGTGATTTTTTACATTGTGATAGCCTACATTTGGTGACAAAACTATGGTAACCTAAAGGCTAAAATAATGACGTTTTTAGATATAGTTGCACATTCATTTGAGTAGGCCTAGACAATTACAGTGGGCTATATTATTTTGTAGTCGTCTAGGCGTATAACATGCCATGGCCTTATATTCGTGTTTTAACATTGTATTAACATTTTATAGAGCAACATTGGGGAAATTATGTTCACCAAAACAGAGTTAAATTCTGAAAAGGAGCTCGCAAAGAACGAAAAAAAGGCCTAATTCAATATGTCAGCCTATTACGATCATTTGTAGACTAAATAAGGTGTTCAGATCTATACTACAAAGTAATTCCTTTATTTTGGGGGGGATTTCTTTGACCGGGGCCTGCTGTGTGGACGAATAAAGTATTTCGATGGTCAATTGGAACATGATCATAATATATTCAAATAAGATGATCAATAATATAATTGTAGGTGAACCAATTAAAACCAGACATTTAGTGAAAATGAATTGATCATTGGAGACGTTTTTTGTCCAAGGCCTTGAAAAATACACAGGCTGTGCAGCGCCAAAGAAACCCTGAAAAATACATTTTTTCCTTCCGAGTCGCCACACTATAAAGACAAAGTTGGAACAATTTGAAGTAGCTGGCAACAGAAATGTTGGTCTCCATGATCTTTTTCACGATGGATATTACCTATGTTTGACAAGTCAAACGGTTTCCACAGGCAATAGACTATTCAGTTAGGCCTATATTATTTTGGTAAATAGCCTACATAATAATAATAATAATAATAATAATAATAATAATAATAATAATAATAATAATAATAATAACAATAATAATAATAATAATAATAATAATCACGATTATTATGATTATGATATGTATTACTTGTTTCGTAGCCTCACACACTGATGGCCGTGATTTTGATTATTTGTATAAAATCCCCACTTACCCTCCGAGTAGTTTTCATAAAACGAGCCCTTCCCGCTTATTGATAAAACCTTTTGGTCCTGATTAATATGTTCCATGTATTTGCTGTGTTTGTTGGGCGAGGCGCGAGGATTCGTGGAGGCTGCCCGGTGAGTAAAATCCGCGGGCGCACCGTCGTCAAACCGTCCCATGGAGCTCGAGCTGTAGAAGTCACCCTGACCCCGGAGACTCGGACGATGCGCGAGAGGAAGGTGTGTACTTTTCTGTAGTTCGTCGCAGGGAAGGAACGAACCTCCAGAACTATTCTGATCTAAACCGGGAGAGTTATCCGGTGTTGTCCGGTTTGACTGCGAAGAGAAAGACAAACAACTCTCCGCCTCCATCATGAGGTCGGTCCGGCATGCACTTTAACGACTCTACTCTGGTCCCGGTTACAGTGAAAGCAAGGTTTCTGTGAGACCGCGTTTTTTCGGATTATTTTCTTCATTTCAAGTGGGTGGGATTTAGGAGATCAGGAACAAAGACCCGTGAAACAGGGAGGACCAGGCGGGACAGTGGGCTGATATGATCCGCCAAGAATTCAATCACGTGTGATTCCTGTCGCAACAATTAACCTTTTAAATCCTCTTTCATTTTGTTAAAAAACAAACAGATTACTAACTGGGGAAGGGATAGAGAGAGCATTTTACGCAAGGCACATTAAGCAAACATTTAGGCGTTTTGTTGTGTTCAGTGCCAAATGGCCAAATGCGCCCGAGGAAATGTATTTGCCATTGGTGCCCTAATTTTTGCACTGTGTTTTATAGATCATATTATTTTAGACCCAACTGGCTGGATTAATGTAAATGCAACAGTAATTCATTGTAATTGAGTTCAGGGAATGTGGGGGATAGCCTATCGATGAATCTCTTGTATGAATCTCGTGGTCCTCTGTAGCTCAGCTGGTAGAGCACGGCGCTTGTAACGCCAAGGTAGTGGGTTCGATCCCCGGGACCACCCATACACAAAAATGTATGCACGCATGACTGTAAGTCGCTTTGGATAAAAGCGTCTGCTAAATGGCATATTATTTATTTATTTATATTGGATCATAATTTGTTGGCTAAAATCCACGCACAACGCTTGATTTGCAAGCTCTTTTTGATGCTCTTTCTCAAATGCATTCTACTAGAAATGTTAGAATACACATCATTTCAGGAGAACACTGTCGAAACAGATTAGATAAAATGGTGTACCATTTGTTAGGCTTTTATTTTTATTTTTATTTTTTATGCTATTGGCTTCATTTTGAATATCCACAACGAAACTGAACTAACAAAGGCATTTTGGTTGAATATTAATATCACCTAAATCTACTGACTAGACGAGATATCTTAGTAATGCGACAACTTTTTTTGTTGTTGCCCATCAATTATCCTTCACAGAACCGTTCAAGCAATTGGAACAGGATTTGACCTTATACTGCTCGGCTGTGGGGCTGAATAATGCATTTAACACAAATAAAACTGACACAGAAATAATTATTTTGACCGCTGCCATGTCCCAACAGTCTTTTGGCAGTCGGAGCGGGTAGAAAGTGTTTGTCATCTGAATCCTCTGTTTTTCGGACCGTCTTGAGGGGGATGTTATCATTGACAGACTTTCATATTCGATATGGATATTTCTTGCTTTCTTGTGGCATTTGCTTGTTTCCATTTATTTTCAAAATAGCTTATTTTTACAATTCTTGAGACAGTCCCTGAGTTAAAAACAACAACAAAATAAAATAGCATGAAATCAAATAGGGTATAAGGACGTTTAACAAATGTAATGCAATAACTCAGTTGTCTAAAAAATGTCTAAACAAACGTGCAGTTGATTATTTCAGAGGTCCGAGGTAAATAGAAACTGACAACTGAAGATATTCGGAATAACTATGTACAATATCGAATGAAATAAATCATGGCCTCGTTTCCCAGAGCCTTTGTAGCGTTGAGATCGTTGGAACCGTCTTTCGATGTCTCTTCAGTAGCGGAGGTGTTTCCCAGAGCCTTCGTTAGTAACGTGACTTTTTAAAAACCTTCGCACATCTACGAGTGATCCAGATAACTCGTAGAGCAGCCTTGGTGTATCGTTAGATGTTTTTTTTTTGCCTTTACGCGTCACTTTATTCACAGAAGATCTCCGCTAAACACATAATCAAGTTGTTTAGGCTATCAGTCTGACTGTGACTGCGGATAACTTCAGAATGAAGTTGACTACAAACACAAAGTTGCCAAAGTATTTGCAATTGTTACAAACAAGTGAAGGATAAAATTATGCTTCAACTGAAAACCGAGACGACTGCATTAATATATATATATATATATATATATATATATATATATATATATATATACATATAGGCTACATGGGCCTATATAGGCTATTTAAATCATATTGAAATCAATTTAATGTTCAATCAATTGAGTTCTATTTTTGCGACTAGGCTACTGTCTGTAATTTTTGCCTCAACGTGTTTCATGATGTGTGACAAGGTGACAACAACAATGTGCCCAATCTGTGATTTAGTGAATTATTATTGGTTAAGCACAATACACCGCCTAAATAGCCTATTTGCAGCAATGAGTGGACATATCTCTCTAGGAGCTGATCCGTCGTCAGTATTGTGGAATAATTATAATGTTAAGGTAAGACTTGAATGGAGTTAGCGAACATCCTGTCTTCGTGCTTGTTTGGGAAACTTAAAAAGTTGACTAGTAAATAACAATGCATCTGGTACGATCATCGTAATGCCTAAGTTAGAGCTCAACTGGGAAACGAGGCCCTGATACATTAGAAAGCCTCTACACATTTTAGAAATGTCCATGGAACATTATCAGAAATGTAAAATAAAAAAACACTTTCATTCATTAGGCCTACTGAAGTTAATGCTTTGCAGATGATACAGTGTCAAAACCAAACATCGTCAATCACCAGCCATAACAGGCTAAACAGGGAGAGGGTCGTATAGTACCATAATGTCATTTCATTTAAAAAAGGAAGGTTTGTTAAATAGTTATCAGATCCGTAGGCCTAAACAGGCTACTTTGTAATACATCAATAAATAAAATCGTTTTTGCCTATTTATGAGGCTAAATATAGTGCAGGTGGCCATTACCTCAAACATTAATTCATTGGAGTGTAAAATCACCGAAGTTGTGATTTCACTGAAAATAAATGAGATTGCAAGGGAATCATTGTTTTCTCGGGGAATCTAGGCCTACGACCTTTGAGTTCCATTTGAAATGAACAGAAGAGGTTAACCAATTTAAGACACTGTAAAACATCAATGCATCCCAGTTGGCTTTTAAATTAAATTATTCAATTGACTTTTCACTACTCAGAAGTATATTTCCAGGTGAATAGAATGAACCTTAAATAACGTCAGCTTCTAGTAAATAGTGCTTGGAACTTGAGGTTTAGTTATTGGAAAATACTGAAAAAGTTACCACTTTACTGTGATCAACATAATGTTACTATAAAAATAGACATTTAAGCACTCTCTTAAAATTCAAACGTTTTATGGCGGGCAGTCCAGGGTCACCTATTATTTATTGTTCCTAAAATAAATAGCTACAGGTTAGGCAAAAGAAAGTCGACGCATGAGCAAACAAGTCATACATACACGCATTCTCTGATTCTCATTTTCACTCTAAAATATAAAACACACAAAGTTTGACTACTCTGCAGAAAGATGTAGCCTGTAAGATGAAAGGAATCTGACTGTTGATATTGACATGGGATCTCCAATCTGCGCCTCCATCTCTAAACACGGTGCACTTACGGAGCTCAGAAATGGCAACGTTGGTTTTTGAAGACATCTCATAATCTTCTGGATACCTATGGAGGCAGCATGGAGCCAAACATGATGGACAAGTATGTAAACACCCGGTCCATTTGGGTATACAGGGGACATAAGCACCGTTTTATTTAGTGTGGCGTTCCAAAAGCCTAAACTGTCAACAGAGAAGGGAAGCTATATAACTTCACTATAACATACCAAAATTGCATGACGTGTGCAGTTAGAGGAAACGTCTACCATTGCATAACTCGTTTTCTGGTTTATAGTTTATAGTAGGCTACTGTAGTACTAACATATGCCTAAATCCACTCTACAGCACAGCCTCCACCAACATCCCACTGGGCACACACTGGTTGAATCAACATTGTTTCCATTTCAATGAAATTACGTTGCACCAACGTGGAATAGACGTTGAATTGAAGTCTGTGCACAGTGGGATATCTGTGGATCCACAGTCAGCCACATTCCCAAGTTGGTCATTTCAGAACAAAATTAGATGTCCATAAAACACTCACAAACAAACACCTGAATGTTATGCTTTTACTCTCCTGACCCAAAAGGAGCGATCATGATCCAAAAGGAGCGATCATGACCCAAAGCCAGAGTGCAAGCTGGTTCTAGAAGTTGCTCACACAAATTACAAAGACATGACTACTTAACAAGTGGAGAAGACTGGCTGCTTTAAGATCTGCCTGATTTGTGTCCTTTGACTTAATGTAATTAATGTGCAACATGACTCCGATTATATTATCTGAGTCAAGAGAAGAGAGCACGGAGAGGCCGGAGAGAGTGATGTCCTGGGGTCGTTCCATATGATTTCAATCACTTTCTGACTGCACGCCTTTTGATTTGAATGCGAAAACATTCAGGAGATAAGAGGTGCTCAAAGTTGACCCATTTTGGCATACCCCACCCTACCATGAGACATCCAGGTATGCAAAACTTTGAGCACCTCTAATCTCCTGAATGTTTTTGCATTCAGTAAAAAACTGAAAACTGTGAGCACCTCTCATCTCCTGAATATATATATATATATATATATATACACACATTACCGGTCATATTTTTAGAACACCTACTCATTCAAGGGTTATTCTTTATTTTTACTATTCGCTACATTGTAGAATAATAGTGAAGACATTAAAACTATGAAATAACACATATGGAATCATGTAGTAACCAAAAAAGTGTTAAACAAATCAAAATATATTTTATATTTGAGATTATTCAAATAACCACCCTTTGCCTTGATGACAGCTTTGCACACTCTTGGCATTCTCTCAACCAGCTTCACATATGCTGAGCACTTGTTGGCTGCTTTTCCTTCACTCTGCGGTCTGACTCTTCCCAAACCATCTCAATTTGGTTGAGGTCGGGGGATTGTGGAGGCCAGGTCATCTGATGCAGCACTCCATCACTCTCCTTCTTGGTAAAATAGCCCTTACACAGCCTGGAGGTGTGTTGGGTCATTGTCCTGTTGAAAAACAAATGATAGTCCCACTAAGCTCAAACCAGATTGGATGGCGTATCGCTGCAGAATGCTGTTGTATCCATGCTGATTGTGTGCCTTGAATTCTAAATAAATCACAGACAGTGTCACCATCAAAGCACCACCACACCATAACACCTTCTCCTCCATG